GTTTGCCTCAGCAGATAGGTTGGCACGAGGACCAAAGGGTCTCAGGTCTGTCTGTCTCCCTCCCTCCGTTCTTCCTTCCCTCCCTTCCACACTATCTAAAAATCAATGAAAAAATATCCTTGGGTGAGGATTAACAGCAATAACAAAAAGAATAAGACAAAGATGACCAAAACTGTTAGAAAGCTAACAGAAGAAAAAGGAGGGAGGAGGAGGAGAAAGCCAGGAAAAATGTAGATTCTTTGATGAAAATGTTGAATTAATAGATCTCTACACGTCCTGTTAACAATAAATGTCTTCACAGTCCAAAGCACAGTAAGCCAGATGTTGTTACTTGTAGCAGAAACTATTCCTGATACAATGTTTAACAGGAGTTCCAGAAAAAAGATGGGAATGTGCTCAAACAATATTTAAAGATATAACTGGTAAGAATTTTCCAGAAAGATATGTATCCTCAGACTGAACAATGGATACTGAGCATAAACACTGTAGCTACTGAATAGGAGAAAAAAATATAAATGTATGTACATGTGTCTGCACAGTCACACCTTGACAAAGTGTAATAAAGCTGCGGAGGACCAAGGTATCAGGTAAAATCTTAAAGGCTACTAAGGAAAAGACAGTCTACCTATAAAGAAATAAAAATTAGACTCAACAGAAAAATTTCTGTAAGTTAGACAACTCTGATACAAAACCAGAAAAGTACAATAATACAAAGAAATAAAGTTGTAGGCCAACTTCACCTAGGAACATATATGGAAGGATCTTAAAATATCGGAACAGAATTCAGCACTGTATTTTATAAAATAATCACAACTAACCAGAGTTCATTCAGAAATGCAATGTTAATTCAACATTAGAAAGTTAACTGATACTATAAAAACCACATTTTCACATTAAAATAAAAAGACATATGATGATCTCAACAGATGCAGAGAAGTCATTCATAAAATTTAATACTTCTTCATAATGAAAATCTGAGCAAGTTTAATAGGAAAACTATCAAAAACAAAAAAGCAAAAGTTATACTTAATTGTGAAACTTGAGAAGCATTCCAATGAAAGGACCAATACAAAAATGTTGACTAACTATACTGGCTTATTTGTACATGATAAGATTGTCAAATGGAACACAAGAGAATTATAACCAAATCATCGTAACAAATTAAGCCTGAATTATGCTGGATATAATATCTTAGTCTAACAAAAAGATGGGAAAAGACTTCATGGGGACAATTAAAAACATTATTTAAGCCCTGGCCAGTTTTCTAAGTGGTTAGAGCATCGGCCTGCGGTCCTGAGAGACCCGGGTTCGGTTCCTGGTAAGGGCACGTACCTCGGTTGCAGTTTGTTCCTGGCCCTGGTTGGTCGTGCGGGTGGCAGACACTTGATGTGTCCCTTTCACGTCGATGTCTCTGTCTGTCTCTGTCTCTGTTTCTCTCTCTCTCTCCCTCCCTCTCCCTCTCTCCCCCTCCCACTCTATCTGAACAAAATATGGAAAAATGTCCTTGGGTGAGGATAAAAAACAAAACAAAACATTATTTAAGACAAATAGGTCAAAATTCTCACCAACTGCACTTCATACAATATTCACAAATGAGAAGACTTACTTGATCATCAAAAGTTCTAATAAAATATAAGTTCCCATAAAAATCCCAATAAGTGTTTCAATAAAGGCTAAATGTAACTAAGGTGATTTCGAAGAATAGCGGCAATGTGTGAAGGCTCTTGACATACCAAATATCAAAACTTATAAAGACAGTATGGTGCTAGCATAAGATTAAACAGACCAATAGAATATATCAGAAAGTACCCCAAACAGAACCACACATTTAGGAACAACTTGATACAATATAGATGACATTATAAACTTGTATGGAATAGATGAATAAATGATGCTGGACAATTAGTTATCCACATGAAAAGATATTAGATTCCCTATTTCACATTGATTTTGTACAACAAAGTCAGTTCCATGTGGATTAAAGACATGTGAAAAGCAGAACATTTAAGAGAAAATTTTTCCTTATTTGAGGAGAAAGGATTTCTTAACCAAGACACAAAAAGCACAAAGAATCTGAATATTTTGCTATATTAAAATTGAAAGTATCTGTACAACAAAAGTGAACATCAATATAAAGAAGATAAGCTATAGACTGAAGGATATTAAAAACATACAAAAGAGCCCTGGCTGGTTTGGCTCAGCGGTAACAGTGTCAGCTGGGGGACCAAAGAATCCTGGGTTGGATTCAGGTCAAGGGCACATACATCAGTTGAGGTTCAGTCCCCAGCCCTGGTCGGGGGTCATGCAGGAGGCAACCAATGGATTTCTCTCTCACATCGATATCTCTCTCTGTCTCTCTTCCCCTACCTCCCACTCTATTTGAAAATAAATGGGAAAAAAAAAATATCCTCAGGTGAGGATTAAAAAAAAAAATACAAAGAAAACAGGATTAGTATGAACAATAAAGTACTGCTAAGAATTGATAAACAAAGATAAAGCCAATAGAAAAGTGAGCAAAAAATAAAGTCAACAGAAAAAACTCAAATGGCTAATAAACATTCAAAAAGATGCTCAATCTTACTACTAATCAGAGAAGTGTTGAATTAAAGATGAAATATCATTTCAGACCCATTAGATTGACAAATACAGTCCTAAAAAAAAATAACATCATTAAGAGGGATCAAAATTTTGCTACCCTAAAATAAGCCTTTAGGATATGGATTTTAAGTTGGTGATTAAGGAACAAAAGACTCAGAAAGAAACTTTGTCCTTCTCCCTAATTGCCTAAAAGGAATTTTGATAGAGATCTGCTCCAGGAAGGGAGATATCATCATAGATAATTATAGTTTAATATAAACTAGTGTGTAATAGGAAAAAACCTAGCAAGGCTCATTTGTTCAAAGTCCTCTCAGTATCCGATTGTTAAAGATGGCCCAGTAAACATTTATTTACCAAACATTTGCTTTCCTATCTCCTTCTTGACCTTTAAAGTCTCAAACAAACCACACTCCTCACCACCACTTCTTAGTCCAAAATGGCATATAAACTTCAACTGCCCAGTGTGTCTTTGGGTCTCATATTCTTATGGTAGCCTCACATGTACATCTGTAATAAATTCTGTACGTTTTCTGCTGTTAATCTGTCTATTAACTGGATCATTAGCTCAGCCAGAACTTAAAAAGGTTGGAGGAAAGTTATTTTTTACACCCCCACAGTATCAAGTGCTGGAAAGAATGAAGAAAAACAAAATACCTTGCTAGTGAAAGTAAAAATTAATATACAACCACTTTGGGGAACAACTTGGCAATAGTCAGTGCTTGAAGATAAACATATCCTTCCAACAACAATTCCACTTAGAAAACCCCTTGGAAGTGTGGATAAGGAGAAAGGCACAAGAATGTTCATTGCAGCGGTTTTTAATATATAACAACTAATATTCTAATACCTACAACAGGACAAATAAACAGTTGTTTTTTATGTAATAGATTATCCATATAGCAATTAAAATGAGCTACAGCTATATGTATGAACACTATAAACCTCAAAATAAATAAGTTAGTAGAAAAACATTTTGCAAAATGATACAGTTTGAATATATATACACATACACACAAACTTAAGTACTAAAATATAAAATAAAGTTTAAAAGCTATTGGGTACACTAAATACCAAATAGAAACCATAGTTACTGCACAAAACAGAATGGGAGGATTTATCTGCTTCTCATTTAAATAAATCTGAGGCAAATCTGGCAACATACTAGTTCTTAAAGCTGGGAGTGAATGCATACACAAGTGTTCATTATCTTCCTCTCCACCAGTCTCTACGCGTTTAAAATAATTTGCAATGAAAAAAGAGTGGGAAATGGTTAACTTTACATATACAGAACTTTAACAGATGCAAGAACAAAACTTCTCTCTTCCAAACAGCAGTCCAAATTTTTAATAAGTCAAATCACTCATAAAAAAGGCAGTAGAAAGTGTCGCCTCAGTTTAACAGCACAATTAAACCTTATTACTTGTTAAGTATCTATCATTATTAAGTAGCTGTTGTGTTCAAGCATCTTAGCGTTTAAATAAAAAATTACAAGATTTTAGAGCATAGGAGAAATATATTGCAGTATGTTGGGGATTTTTATGTTTAAGGTTATGTGACATTCCAGCTTCATCATCTGAATTAAGATGTACAGATTCACCCAACACAAAACACACAAGGCTGTGAAACTCTTTTATTCTATTTTAGCCGTTTTTTGAGTTGTAAATCCACTCAATTCTGATTTTTTAAAAGACTTACAAGCCTGCCCCGGCCGGTTTGGCTCAGCGGTTGGAGCATTGGCCTGCGGACCAGAGAGTCTGGGGTTCGGTTCCCGCTAGGGGCACGTACCAAAAAAAAAAAGAGAGAAACTCACAGGCCTTACAAAAATCACACAATATTTTGCACGCAAAGGCCATTCATGGGCCTTAGATTTAGAACTCCCGCTTTAAGGTTGCTACTCCAAATCTTTGCACGAACTATGGCTGAGTTATGCTGGAAAACAACCCCATGTGTCTAACAGGTTTAGGTGCCAGTTGCGTAAAAGTGACCTTTGGGCTTTCACTAGCTCCTCGAGTGGCTGTGAAAAGCTTTAGAGACTGCTCCCCAACGAGCCCGGGCTGGGCAAACGACACTCTGCTACATATCAAAAGTCTTTCTCTTTAAAGGGGGTCAAGCGGCACTGTCAAGGTGTCCCGCGAACAGAAGGGGCAGGGGACCGCCCCCTGTATCTCAAGCCCCGGAACCGGGGGAGGCACCCAGGAGCTTCCTGGGGAACTTCGCACCGAGCGCCCACGGGTCAGAAACTGTGGTGGTACGCCCCTACCCCCGGGCCCACCTCAACCCCCTCGATGCTGGGGGCTGGTTGAGAGGGGGAGGGGAACCTCGCCTCAACAACCGCCTCAACCGCCCCTGGACAAGTCCCTGCTCCAGCCCACTAGGCTCGCGGCTAGATATCCCACACTCACTGAAAAGCGGGGCCGGGTCCTGGCCCCGGCCCGGCCCCCGGAATCCGGCGGGTCTCCCAGGGTTTCGGAGGGGGCTGCGGCTGGGACGCCATCTCCTCCGCCTCCGTTCCGCTGCGGCCGAGCGCTGGGACTCTCCGGGCCAGCGCACCGCCGCTCGCGCGCCAGGCGCGACGGGCAGAACGCCGAGCCCTCGGCGCCGCCCACCCCTGCCGGCGCGACGTGGCCTGTGGCGCTTTGCCGGCCCGGACCAGAGGAGAGGAGGGTGCCACTGATCCACGAGAGAGAGGTGCTCTTTTTATTTGCCGCAGAAAGATTTTCCATTCTCAACCGCCTAGATCAGGTACAGGCTCATCGACATTTCTGACAGCGGCTACCAAGTCTTAGATGACGGAGTCCCTCGGAAGCTTTTCTGGGACTGGTCCGCTCAGGCGGGGACCTCTGACCCACTCACTCCTACAACCCGCGGGAGAGGCGGGGTGTGTGGCGGCAGGCCAGGCAGTTGTACTGATTTTTCTGCTAATAAGCAGGGGACAGTTCACTCGGTCCCCCCAAGGGGGGGCTGGTACCTTCGTTCTAAAGTTCTCGTTTCCTCGGGGAACAGAATTGCTAGACGCAATCGGTGCGTTGTCTTTAGTCTTCCCCGTCCCCTCTGAGGGCCAGAAGGGGTTAAATCTCAGGCTCCGGCTCCGTGGGAGAAGGTGAGGCAGCGAGGTCTTAGGTGGGGTGTGACGACTGGGTGCTGGAGAGGTGTGAATGGAGGGGATCATTTCCTTCCTGCTGGAGCGGCTTTGCTGGCAAGGAGGGGTGAGTGGGAAGTTTCTCGGACTTGACCCAAGAGGGGGGAAGGTCTTGCTTGGCCAAAGAGAGAGAGAGAGAGAGAGAGAGAGAGAGAGAGAGAGAGAGAGAGAGAGAGAGACTCAAGGTTAGATAGATCTTGGATGTAGGGGAGATTCCACAGCTGAGTGTATCGGTAATGAAATGCAGTTGTGAGCACCTCCTTTAGAAATCCACACCCCCCCCCACCCCACCCCCACGAGGCAAATGACACCTACAGTATGGAGTGAGTTTTTTAAAAAATCAAGGGATGGCCCTGGCCGGTTTGGCTCAGCGGTTAGAGCGTCGGCCTGCGGTCCGGAGAGACCCGGGTTCGGTTCCCGCTAAGGGCACGTACCTTGGTTGCAGTTTGTCCCCGGCCCTGGTTGGGTCGTGTGGGTGGCAACCACTCTATGTGTCGCTTTCACGTCGATGTTTCTCTCTCTCTCTCTCCCACTCACTCTATCTGAACAAAATATCGAAAAAAAATGTCCTCGGGTGAGGATAAAAAAACAAAAAACAAAAAAAAAAATCAAGGGATGTGAGACAGCCTGGTCATTTTGGTGCTTTTTCACATGCCCTCTCCTTCCCTATTTGCAATGAATGGTTTCTGCAATATTCCGAGAGGTGAAAAGAAAGTACATTCTCTCCTCCAGTAAAACCGTGACTGGGCTGGTTATCCTTGTTTTGTGGAGAAGGGACTCTCTGTCCCTTATGGATCCTGACACGTGGGAAGAGGTTCTGTTGCAATGATTTGTTTCAGTTCTTTCTGTAAACTAAACACGTAAACGAAACGCGAAAATCTTAACAATGGTAACCAACAATGAAAACCTTTCTGTGTAGGATACATTTCTAGTGGCTCGCTTTCAGAGATAAACCTCATATGGGACAGCTGATTTCTGATGTCTTATGAAATCCTATCATTTCAGTGCTGTATATTAAGATGAAACAACCAAATTTAAGGCGTAACGTATTTCCTCCTCTTAATGTTAACGTGCTTAATTAAGAAGTCACTAGATTTTTTTTTTTGCTAGGTGAAAATGATTTGAGAGGTTTGTTAAGTCCATAAAATTAACACTCAAGAGGGTTTTGTTTTGTTTAAGACCTCTTCAAATTACTCAGGACAGGTGTCCTAATTCTCAACAGGTTTGGGAACTTATCAGAGCGAAGATACTATAATGTATCTTTTATTGACCTTGCATGATACCTTTATTTCTAGTGAACCTATTGGAATAATAAACATAATTTTTAAGTCGAAGGAAAGAAAGTAAACATTTTATTGAAACTGTTTAACAAGTCCCTGCCCTCCCCCAATCTTCGATACAAAGTGTCTCGTTTAAGCATTTACTCCTGGATTTTATTTATTGGGGAAGAAGGGTTGTTTCTCTGAAATAAAGGTTAATTCTGAATTAAATGAAATCATTGACCTTAACTAATGGAGAGGAGGAGAAAAGATAACATAAAATAAAGGGTGAGACAAACAGTTTCTCTGTGAGAGGAGTGCAGTAATTATTTTGTGTCAAGGCTCTATTCTTGATAAGTAGCCACAAACATTTAGAAACTTGGAAGTAAGTAGTGCATTTAAAGGGTTGAAAAACACAAACTTATTTTAAGAAGCCCATCTTAACAGTAAGCAGTTAGTAAGAGCTTCACTCTCCCACAAATTTTAAACAAGTTCATTTGAATTATGAAACTACACAAATTAAAAGGTGCCACTGTCTTTTATCCATGTGACCACAGTTAAATACCACAATTACTGACATGCAATCACTTTGCTGGTTCCTCGTTTTAAAGTAATGTGGACTGATTCATTCATCTATTTTTGCCAAACAGAATGATTAGGTAATTTAGTGCCCCTCCTTCCTGGCAAGAAGAGAATTATATTGGATTTCCCCCATCCTCTAATATTTGTTTCTTTTTTTTTTTTTTTTTTTTTTATCCTCACCCGAGGACATTTTTCCATTTTTTTGTTCAGATAGAGTGGGAGGGAGAGAGAGGAAGAGAGAGAGAGAGAGAAACATCGATGTGAAAGGGACACATCGAGTGGCTGCCACCCGCTCGACCAACCAGGGCCGGGGACAAACTGCAACCGAGGTATATGCCCTTAGCGGGAACCGAACCCGGGTCTCTCTGGACCGCAGGCCGACGCTCTAACCGCTGAGCCAAACCGGCCAGGGCTAATATTTGTTTCTAAATGAATTTATTCAGATTACAAAAGGTAGCAGATTGTTTGAGACAGTAATTGCTCTAAAATATTTTGCATTTAATTTGTTTTTGTTGGAGGTTTACTTGTGCATGAAAGAAGCAGTTTTTTCTTATTTCACTAATAGTTGTCATTTAGTTATATCATCAAAGTAAAATTGATGTTTTTGGATCCACTGATCAATTTGTTTTAAATACTTGACTGCCTAACTATCATTAAGGCTAGTCAAGTATTATATGATATAAACTTATCTGATATTTTTCTAGCAGACTGATTTTTAACTTCTAATTGGAAAAGTTTATTGAATTTACTACTCTGTGTTCTCAAACAATACTAAATGGTACAAAATAAAAGCAAATTTTTACTCTCTACTCTTGTTTTCATTATTACCCTTCTCAGAGACAACTGTTCTTTATTATTTTTATTTCTTTTGATTGATTTAATTATATCGATGTACTTTATCATGATCCAGAATGCTAAACTAATCCCTTGATTCATCTGATTCATCTAATAAAATTTTCAAGTTTATGTTTCAGTATACATATAATGAAAGGGTCATTAATGGAGAATGCAAAATAGTGTTTTTCAAATAAAAGTTTTTTATCCTTATAGGTGATGATATATTTGTCTGTGAAAGTAGAACACAAGATGCTCATTAGTTTTACTTTTTATTTCTTTCTAGTTATAATTATTCAATATGTTTCCATTGACTGAGGAAAACAAGTATGTGGCCCAGTTGTTGTTCAGTACTGGTACATGTCCAAGATGTATCTTCAGATTCTGTGGTGTGGATTTTCATGCACCTTACAAACTTTCCTATGAGGTATTTTCATTTCATTTTTTTAGATTAAGAACTTTCTCTAGTTTTAAATGAATACCTGTACATTTAAAGGCAAGTATCTATCCATAACTCTACATTCAATTTTAAAACACTATGAAATAATTACCAATAATGCTAGTTTTGGAATTTATATTACCAAAAAATGTAAGTTTCTTCTTAAATGATTATATCTAACATTTAATATAGTGGGATCTTTGTAGAGCAATTCCCTGGTGCATTTAATGTTTGTACTATATAGACCTTTTCTAAAGAGTATCTAGGCAGAATATCACAAAGTAGTGCTTCTCACTAGATATTACTAAGTTGTTTTTTGATTTTGTTGATCCTCACCTGATGGTGTTTTTTCCATTGATTTTTAGATAGAGTAGAAGGGAGGAATGGAGGGAGGGAGGGGGAGGAGAGAGAGAGAGAAAGAAAGAGAGAGAGAGAGAGAGAGAGAGAGAGAGAGAGAGAGAGAGAAACATCAATGTGAGAGAGACACACATTGATTGGTTGCCTCCTGAATGACCCCAGCTGTGGCCAGGGATGGAACCTGCAACCCAGGTACAAGCCCTTGACTGGAAATTGAACCAGAGACCCTTAGGTCCTCAGGCCGATGCTCTAACTGCTGGGCCAAATCAGCCAGGGCTAGAAAATTGTAACAGGAGGGTTGATAGACCTTAGCTCTACTAAGTGAAAGCATTGTGGATTCAGGTGCATTTTTTTTTCTTTGTTCTTTTTTTCTATATTACCATTTTATTTACAAATAGTATTTGCAACTCACTAGAAACAAATGCCATTTAATTATGTACTGCTATTAAAAACAACAAAAGTAATATACAGAGATCTTTGACATTTAATAGAATACTTTAACATAAAATACATAACATTTTGTGAAATATATTTCATTCTAATCGTAATGTTTTTTTCAGAGGCAGAGAGTAATTATATATATGTAAATATATAGCTATATAAACAGTACAAACACACACATGCATACTCAGTTTCTTATGATTTTTTTTTTTTTTTTAGAGAGAGAAGAAGGGAGAGGGAGAGAGAGATAGAAACACTGATGAGAGAGAACACTGATTGGCCGCCTCCTGCATGCCTCCCACTGGGGATTGGGCCCACAACCTCTTGGTGCATGGGTCAACAACACTCAACCACTGAGCCACACCAACTGGGCAGTTTCTTATAATTTTAAAAAATTGCCTGGGAGTTAGCAGTAGCAGTCATTTTTTCTATATATTAGTTGCTTCTATTATTTGAAATAATAATTATATCTGATATTCATATAGCATTATTATATGTCAAGCTCTCATGTAACCCTCATAGTAACCTATTAGGTAAGTACATACTATGATTGTCTCTATTTTCAGATGAAGAAACTGAGGCACAGAGAGGTTAAGCAACCTGCCCAAAGTTACACAGCTATTAAGTGAGCAAGCTAGGATATGAACTGTCTGTCTGAATCCAAAGCCTAGAATTTGGAGCTGAAAGACATGGATTTGAATCCCAGTTCCACCACTTTCCATCTTCAGTTTTCTCCTCTGTAAATGCGAATGATGATAACATCCATCTCACAGGATTTTAAGGGACATTATCTAATAAAGTATGTGAAAACATTTTGAAAACTGGAAATGGTACATATGCTATGATGATTAATATGTGTATATTTATTTATACACACTATAAAGTAACAAGACTGGTTTTGTGTAACTTCTTGTACACATTTTTAAAGACACACTATAATCTATTCTATGCATATGTTGTAAGATTTAAAATATATATTATATAAAGAGACTTAGTATTACCTACCAACTTTTGTTTGTATCATTTTGTGTAAATAAACATGAAAATATTTGAAGACTTTTTTGGAAAATGTACTTAAATTTTGACCTGTTCTATTCATATAACTATATATGTGCACATACATATATATGTACTATGTTTTACCTACATTATAGATCTTAGGTAATAATAAACATATTTGTGTGAGTCATAATATACCTGTATGTGTATGTATGTATGAGTATTTCTCTGTTAAAGATAAAATAGGAGAGCTAATGTCTTAATAAAATGAATGAAATTTGTCTGAGTGAAAGACTTTTACTTTACAGTCAGTAAATTGTGATCTGAGTGAATTTAAAAAGATATATATTCAACAACTGAATAATAAAGCCTGTTAATTTAGACAAAATAGAAGAAAAGTCCTTTGAGTATTTGAATGAGTAAAATGTCTGAAATATGAGAATGGTTTCAAAAGAATGCCACTTTTAACATTCTAATACAAAGGGTGACAAATATTAAGCCAACCAGAATGTAGTAGAGGGCTTCTTTCAATTAATGCTTATAATTATGGTGCCAAATTTCAGCATTTCCAGCATCTGTTTACTTTTGTTTAGTAAATTGTCTTGAAATTATTTTTTACTTAGTAGACTTCTAATCTGTCTAATTTTTCAGATTTCACATTAAATAAATATTGTACTTATGAGGTTTTAGTGATTGTGAGATTATTAAATAACCAAGCAATAATGAGAAGTCAGTCTGTATTTCTATTTGTTAATACTTAGAATTGAAAGATGGTTTATTTCTTTTTCTTTCTGAAATTAGCATGTGAGTGAATGAATGAATGACTCCACAACAGAACTACAAGCCCAATTGATAAATTTCTTAATGGAGCCTTTCTGCCTCAGATTTAGGACTTTAGCTTCACTGATATATGAAACTCTTTTGAAAAAACATTTATACATTCATTATAGAAGTTAGGTAATTCTCTTTTAAATTTCCCAGAAAGCCAATGCTGGCTAATAAAACTAATTCATTGCTCTGGAATTAATATAAATCAACATTGGGTAAGTCTGTGATATATCACAATATTTACTATGTTTTCATGCTTGATCTTACCCTTAGGGTTATTACTTTTTTTTTTTTTAATTAACTTTCTAGGAGTTGCTCAGTGAACTACAGAAATTTCTGGAAACTGAAAAAGGTGAATTAATTTTGGAAGTTACAAACCCACCTCCCAAGAAAATTCGACTTGATGAACTAGAAGATGGGATTGATGAGATTGATAATCTAAGTCAAAATGGAGAGGGAAGGGTCTCCATTATTGAAGATGGAAGCATTGCTTCCAAGAACTCAAATCTAAATGTATGCAATGTATGCCTAGGAATTCTTCAAGAATTCTGTGAAAAAGAGTTCATTAAAAAGGTAAAGAATCTGTCTTTTGTTGTTATAAGTGCAATTATGTAGAGATTTTCAGTTTTAAGACCTAGAATTCTTTTTTAAAATTTATCCTCACCCAAGGATATGTTTGATTTTAGATAGAGAGGAGAGTGAGAGAGAAAGAGAGAAACATCGATTGGTTGCCTCCTATATGTGTCCCAGCTGGGGATGTAACCCACAACCTAGGTATGTGCCTTGACTGGGAATCAAACCTGCAAACTTTTTTTCGGTGTACAGGTCGACACTCCAACAAACTGAGACACCCATCCAAGGCAGACCTAGAATTCTCATATCTACAGGAACAATGCCATTTATTCCAATTTGTTTCACATCAGTGACTTATTAAAATATTTTCTTAATTTATTTCAAAAAATGAAAACTTTTTTTAAATCTCAAATTACCTTTTTATCAACATGATAACTGAAAAGTAATGAAATATGTATCCATTTATGTATTTCAGTCATGAGTGCTATTCAATTAAAACAAAAAATGGCAATGTTCCCTTCTTGCCATAAGAAGTTAGAGAAAAGTTCTTTCTTAGTCATTATCTATTAGTGTCTAGAAAAGATAAATGTTATAGCCTTGTGGGAGGTACATGTTTGAATGTAGGATTATCTTTTGTTTCCAGCTGTCAAGTGTGCCATATTTAGCCTTACTTTGTTTAAAATCTTTTTTAGATTATGGGGTAACCTAATAGAAAACTATTTTGACATTCAGCAGATTGTTCTGTGGGTAAGTCCTGGCTGTTTTGGTGATGTCAGTTTTCAGGATCATAGTTAGCAAATATTTGATTTCAGGATGTTTATGAGTGTTCCCTACTCAAAGGTGAAAGTTTGGAAGTTTTGCAGAGTCATCTGGACCAAAAATCTACGTTATAAAGATTAGTATAACATTTTAAGCAATTCCTGGGAATTTATATAATACTCTTTTATGTAATAAAAATAATTTTTATGTAATACTTTTGTAGGTATGCCAAAAGGTTGAGGCCTCTGGATTTGAATTCACCAACTTAGTGTTTTCAGTCTCTTTCCCACCACAGCAATCTGTAAGAGAGGTAAGGCCATTTACACATACAAAATTACATGTGAAATGTATGCTAGAAGTTTCTCAAAAAATACAAATACACAAATATTTCTTACCACATTACATTTTTTACATTTTGTGTATTTATTGAATGATTGAAAGCATTATATTGTTATAGCTGCTTAATAATGTTGAATAATGTTGAATTATTGGTTCAATTTAGTGTATTCATCACAGGACTGCCATCTTTTTAAGAGGTCCTCATTCAGTAGAAGACATTCATTGAGGATTAGATCTGTGTGGTCAGAGATAAAGAATTGACCAGGAATCCAGAGACTTGAGTATGTGTGTGGTGGGGGCAGAAGTGTGCATTTTATAATGACCCTAGGATAGGGTCATTTCAATTATGACGAATCTTCTTATTTTCTGATACAAAATGGTAGCGCCTCTTTGAGTCAGTGGTAAAAAGGGAAATGGCCTTATTTTTATTTTAACTTTTTTCCATTGTTAGTGAAAAACACAATAATAGTCATTACTATAACATTCTTGTGTGTCAAAACTGACATGAAAACATAAAACTATTTTTGTTAATACTATTACATGAACCTCTGTAATCTCAAATTACAACAATGAGTTCTAAACATATATATAGTCTTTTTGTTAAGAATCCCAAAGCATCACCAGAATATTGCATCTTATACTGTTACTTTCTTTGGTTTAGAATGTTTATTTGGCCCCTAAAAAGTTGAAAATTGATTTAAAACTTATTAAATGATAGACAATAGCTGAGAAGTGAAAAAAAGTAGATGATTTTAAGTAGTACCTCTGTTGATGACAAGATAACTGAGCAAATGAAAAGGTAAAGGTGATGATGATAATATACTGAGGTTTATAAACACAAAGTTATTTTCTAGTCAGTCATCAAAGCATTTCTCACTGGTAGGTCATCTTCAGGGTCCAGTTTTGGTAGAGAGAAACAGACTTCCAAAAGCTAAGTGACTCACAAAAAGTTGCAGTGTTTAAGTAACAAAAATAGGAATAAGAAGTATAGTTGACCCTTGAACAACAAAGGTTTGAACTTCATGGGTCTACTTATACAGTTTTTTGTTTTTGTTTTTAAATAAATACTGTAAATTTATTTTCTTTATGATTTTCTTAATTTCTTTAGCTTCATTGTAAAAATACAGTATATAATACATGTAACATACAAAATGTGTGTGTTTATGTTATTGGCAAGGCTTCTGGTCAACAGTAGGTTATTAGTAGTTATGTTTTTGGGAAGTCAAAAGATATCGACAAATTTTTTAAAATCTTCACTTGAGGATATGTTTGATTTTAGAGAGAGAGAGAAAGGGAGAGGGAGAGAGAGAGAGAAACATTGATATGAGAGATAAACACCCATCAGTTACCACCCATATGTGACCTGACAGGGGACCAACTCACAACCTAGGTATGTGCCCTGACGGGGTTTTGAACCTGCAGCCTTTTTGGTGTAGGGGATGATGCTCCAACCAACTGAGTAACCAGACTGGGCAGTTATCCATAGATTTTTAACTGCTGGGGAGGCAGGGGTTAGAATGGGGGGTGCACCCCCTTTAACCCCTCACTTTGTTCAAGTGTCAACTGTATATTTTTTAAGTTATATATCTTACCACTAAACTCCTCTGAAAGTTTATAGTTTTATACTTATGTGATGATTTTTTTGTTTTTTTATTTTATTTTATTTTTTACCTCATTTAATTCTTCATTTTACTGGCTAGGTTCAGTCAAACTCAGGTCCCATAATTTCACAGACTAGTGCTATCCATGCTTCTCCAGCTAATGCTACATTTTATCATATTTATGTGATGATTTTAACAATATTGGTTTAATACTTATTGACTACTTATGAAGTATTTACATTCCATGTCAGAAATAGAAGATGCTGTTTTAAAAAATAAAATTATTCTGCTTAAACTCTACTTACTTTTGTAACTGATTTTAACCTCTGAACTATTTAGTAGAAATGTGTGACTGTTCCTATTATTGGGAAATTATTACTTTCTCCAGGTTAGTGTGTTGTGACTCACATTGTTTTCCTTTTTGTTAATGAGTAGTATATTTTTACCCATTCATTTCTTAAGAATAATAATTATTCAAAAGTATGCAGTTTTATATGCAGCTTACTATTTTCACAACCCAGATTTCTTCAGCAAATTTTGTTTATGTTTCACTTTGTGACTTTCTTTTATCATTATGTTTTTTAAAATTATTATTATTTTTTAAATATTGCAAGTCATGAACACCTGAAAATGGAGGGAGGAACCATGATTCTTACCTATGGTTGCACCAAAGAGGCCACTATAGTAAGAACTGAGGTAACAGCAAAAGACTTTTTTGTTTCTTGGTTTGCTACATCTTGCACTTAACAAATTTGAATATTACCTCAACATTAAATAACCTGACTTAAAAAAAAAAAAATCAAAACCCAGTTAATAGAAAGACAAGTTAGTGAGATAGATATATTAGGGGATTTTTCCATTTGACTCTTAAATCTCAAATAAAATGACCCAGTTGTACTAAAATGACCTAGTGATACTATTATTTACCATAAAAATGAAAGATTCCTAAGACTTGTTTATTTGGGGCATTCATTTTTCTATTAATCCTCACAAACCATATAGTAAACTAAAATTCCCATCTGGACAAGAGAAATGTCACGACTCTTAGCCAGTATACTTGTTAACTGCATTGATTATTAGGGTAGCATTTAAAATGAGGGGATGGCTGCAGCAGGTATTTACAGACTTTATTCTGGCATTGCCAGCTGTGTACCTTGACTAAAGCTATGCCACTTAAATTGCCAAATTTCTCTAGTTTTGTGTCCATTACATTTCATTAGGTTTTCTCTCTCTCTCTTTTTTTTTAATTCTCACCTGAGGATATTTTTCTATTTATTTTCAGATAGAGAGGGAGGGAGGGAGGGAGGGAGAGAGAGAGAGAGAGAAAGAAACATCCACTGGTTGCCTCCTACATGACCCTGACCAGGGCTGGTGACTGAACTGCAACCGAGGTACATGCCCTTGACCGGAATCTGTGGTTTAGTTGTAATTTTGTTGTGCCTGTGGGAGGAGGCAAGACCACGTTTACCTACGCTGCCATCTTCACTGGAAGTCCTTGTCCTAGACTTTTGGTAGATGGATTTCAAGCAGTCCAAAGGAAAAACGGTTGAAGAAAAATAGCATAGGAATCTGGGATGGAAGATAAATGAAAAGGATTTGGAGGTACAGAGAAAGTGCAATTGAGACTTTAATTAAAACAAAATTATCCCAACCAATAAAAGAAAGTTTAGGGATAAAAATATATCCCAATGAGGAAGAAATGGGGAATAATTTCCTCTCTCTCTCCTCCTCCTCTTCCTTCCTTAGTTACATAAACATTTGTATTTATATATTTAGATATATTTATTTGACTTTTTATTTTGGAAAATTTCAAAAATAGTAAGACTAGTCTAATGAACCCCTACCTGAGATCATTTTCAAAAAAAAAAAAGAGAGGAAAGCTGAAGTCAAATTAATGCAAATGTAAGGAGGTTTAGATCTGTAAGAGTTGCAACTAGCAGAGACAATTTCCATAAGTAGAGACTTGCAAGAATTGCTAAGGAAGACTTGGGGTACTTGAAGTTATGTTTAGAGCAAGAAAAAGATGAAAAGGGGGATTGATCTGCTATTTGGAACTGATAGTATCTTGCTGATGGACGATACAGAGAAAGCAGAACTCAGAAAATCCTATTTTGCTTCTGTTCTTTCTGTCAGGAAAAATCATCTTCATCTGAAAAGGGTAGAATAATCATTGGTAGGGAAGAATGAAAACTCCACATGGTGAAGCTTCTCTAAATGGGTTCAGGTGGTTGGGACTGGATGAATTATATTCCAAGGTAGATTCAGAAAGAACTTGAAGCTGTCCATGATCTTTGAGAGCTTGTAAAAGATAACAGATTTTCGCCCAGCTGGTATGGTTCAGTGGTTGAGCAGTCACCCATGCAGCAAGAGGTTGTCGGTTTGATTCCTGGTCAGGACACATACCCAGGTTGTGGGCCAAATCCCCAGTCGGGGGTTGGGGGGCATGCAGCATGCAGGAGGCAGCCAATCAATGTTCTCTCTCATCAATGTTTCTCTCTCTCTGCCTCTTTCTTCCTCTCTCCCTAAAAAAAGGTAGCAGATTTTCCAAATGACTGGAGACAGATAAGGTCAGTTCCTATTTTCCAAAGGTGAAGACAGTTGGTTCTATTAAATACCAGCTGGTGAGCTTGACACTAAAACCCAGGAAAGATTCTAGATCAGGAACTAAAGAATAAACTGTGAGCACTGAAAATAAGGCAAACTTGGTTGTCAACACACTTGGTTTGCTAAGAACAAATCATGTCTGCAACATTTCTTCCTTTCACAAGTAGCAGGACTGGTAGAGCAGGGGAATACAGTAGCACTGGTGTGATTGGAATTCAGCTAGTCATCGACTAGGTTTCTTATGATAACTTCCTGAAAGGGACAGGAACATGAGCAGGGTGTGAAGATAGGTGGGTGGACTGTGCCTGACTGGCTGTACCCAGAAGCAGCTGATGGATATGGAACTGGACAGTGTTTCTCCAGATGTGGTCTGAAGATCAACCACCTGAAACCTGGGGAAAGGTTTTGATTTCTGAGCCTTGTCTCAGACCTCCTAAATTGGAATCTCCAGAGATGGGGCATAGAAAGCCCCTTGACAGTTCACGTACACATTGATATTTAAGAATCGTGGAACTTTGGACAGATTTCTGAAGTGCTGCAGGACTCTTTTCATACCTTGTCCTGTTCATGATTTCTATCATTGATGATATAATGGAAACACTCACTTCAAGTGTGCATGACAAGAGTTGAGTGTATAGCAAATAGGTTGAGTGTTAGAACTGAGATCCAAAAAGATCTCAAGAATAGGGAAAATTGGCCCTGGCCGGTGTGGCTCAGCGGTTAGAGCATCAGCCCATGGACCAGAGAGACCCAGGTTCGGTTCCCA